AGGGGGGGGGACTGCATGATTGATTAGGAAGTAATGATTTTATAAAATTGAAAAATGTGGAAGAAGCAGGGAATCTGTCTGTGAATCCTAATACTATAAACCGGTTGCTGAAAAAATGAAATAAATTTTAATGCCTTTTATCCTTAATTTCTTCTTATAAAAAAGTAAAATATATTTAATACTGTACTTGCTCGAAAGCAAGACCCCCTTACATTTGAAGATAAATTTTTACGAAGTAAAAATATAGGTGATTATTTGATGAAAACAGAAGTGATTCTGGTTTAAATTAAAGATAAGCTAGCAAACAAATACAATATTTTTACAATGATGTCAGGAAAAAAAAAGGAAAAGTTAGTGATAAACTGTTTAATTTTCAAGCACACTAATGACTAGTATAGTGAATCAAGCCTAAATTAAAATTACTTAGCTAGACATCACTATTACAATCAGCTGTAGTTTATATATATAACAGTTAGTAGTGTTATTTGTTTAATAGTATATAATAGTAATTATTCTATGTAACATGTTACTCAAACACCTTGCTCTCATTCTACAAGTTCATTCATCAAAACACCCATTTGTGAAGTCCTACAAATTTTAGAACAAGAGTATAGTTGAAAAGGGGTACTTATTTTTATACAGTATGTATTCTACAAAAAATGCCAAAAAGAAATTCACTGCTTTCCTTAAAATTATCTTTCTTTCTTTCTCCTGTTTCTAAATCTAAAGCTAAAGATCTTTATTCTATGATCTGAACTCTTAAATCTATGATCTTAAAATATACATAATTTTTATGTCTTAAGTTGTGCAGACTTTTCATCTTCCACTGAATAACACTGGAAAACAAGGAAAAGGGAAAAGGTTAAGCTATCAATGGGTTCATTATGTTTCAGCAATTTAATTGTACTGCTAATTATACACCAATTTTTGAAAACAGAAATATAGGTAATTTTTCGACATCTTTTCAGAAAAGCTTACATCTAAAAATATCAACATACATAATATTGTGTACAATTTCAGCACAAAATCATTATTAGATATATGATTCTCTAAACCAGCGGTTCTCAATCTTTTGACTATCTACTAAAAAAATGAGACACCTTAGTACCACCACGACATTTTACAATGAATATTTTTCAGTTTCTCAGAAATATTAATTTTTTTTTTAATTTACACAACCTCTTGGCTATTTGTATTAAATATGCACACGTAAAAATATTAGATTAAAACTTAATTACCATTTTAATTATCAAAATATAAATTATGATATTTAATTCTGAAATTTAGTGTGAAATTTGGGCCTGTTTAAGAGCGATCAATTTCTTTATGTCTGGTCTTATTTCACTTAGTTCTAACCGTAAATTAGGATTCACTTTTAATTTTGTTCTGCATTTATTTTTCAAATAGAACACGGAAGAAAACTTTTGTTCACACAAATAGCTTTTGTAAAAAGGCAATAAAAATTTAATAGCGTTTTTTTAAATGGCTTAAACCTTCAAGCACGCGTGTATGTGAAAAATTTATGACAAATTCAGTTTTTAATGCACATTTTTTGCATATCAAAGCTGAGATATCTGTAGGGCATTTCTATTCCTCCTTTCTACCCTTCACCACATCATGGAATGTGTCAATAGGAAGTCATTTGACTTTTTTTTTAACTGGGCTTTTGTGCTACGTGGCAGCTTTTTCATAAAATTTACGACACGCATGTGGTACTGTTCTGAAATTCGAAAAATATTTTTTTCTCAAATATTTTGTAATTTTGTGTTATCAATTGCCACATATTATTTTAATCTGAATACATTTGGCTCTGTAAATTTTATATCAGTTTTCATGGCAAAAAAATATGTGCAACCAGCTGATTTTGCTCGGATTCTTCAAGAATTATCTGATGAAGACCAGAAAACCTTTGGATGGGAGAACAACAGCGATTTCCATTCCTTATTTTCTTTTTTTTCTATTTTTTAGAAATAAATAAAAATATTAAAGTTAGTTTAAAGTGTGTTTTTGTAACCAGTAAGAAGTAAATTTCCTTGCAGAAGTAAGTAATGCTAAACTTACTTTTTCCCTACCAAGGTGTTTTCCTTTTTTATTGTCTATACTTGTCTTTGATGAATATTAAAATTAGCTTCGATTTTTTAAAATATAATTATTAAATAATAAATTTAAAATTTTCTATAATGAAATACATCATTGCATTTCCATCTCACTAACATAAGAACTTAAAAATAATTTACTTATATTTGAATGTGATATCATTTGCATTTTGCAATAATAAGACTAATATTTTATTTCTTAACAAATTTATTATCAATATTCTCTCATTTTTCATGACAACATCGGTAAAATAACGGATGTCGTAAAAAATACGACATGCGCGTGCTCGCATAAAATTTCCAAGTGTGCGTGCTGGAAGGTTAAACTCCTTTTTTTGCTTCAGCCAAAAGTTAACAAGTGCATTATTTTTTAAATCTTCAGTTAGAGTTCAATCACAAGAAATTTCTATCAATTGTTTTCTTTCTTCCCTAGGTAAAATTTCAGTTACATTTGAAAAAATTGTTTCCTGATGCAATTTTCTTTTCATAGTCCTCGGGAAAATACACATTGATATTGTTTATCAACGAAAAACAATGATTTTTAATGCCAGATGTTAATTCTTCTTTTATTTTCAAATTATTTTTGTTTAGAAAACCTTTTAAGAGTGGTAAAATGCTTAAAATATTATTATTCAGTTCTTTGATTATTACTTTGTTTTTTATCATTGCATTAATTTTATCTCTAATGGTAAACAAATTAACACTTTATCCTTGTAATCCTAAATTTAATTCATTTAATTTCTAAAAATCTTAGCTAAATATGCTAAATGCACCATCCATAATTCACTAAATAAATATTTTTGCAATTCAAATTTTGAATCACAGAGAAAAATTTGAATTTCGGATAGAAGTTCAAAAAGACATTTAAAAATTTTTCCTCCATAACCACCTTACTTCGGAATGTAATAAAAACATTTTATGATAACTGCTCATCTTTTGGCATAAAATCGTAAATATTCTTGAATTTAAAGCTCAGCTTTTAATAAAATTAACAATTTTCACAACTTGATTCAAAAGAATTTCCAGGTTTTCAGAGATTGTTTTGAATAAATTTAATCAGGTGCTTCTTTCTTTATTTGAGAAGAAACACCGGAATTTTTTCCTTTTATTAAAGCCCGAGCTCCATCACTACATACGACAATGCACTTATTCCAAGGAATATCATTCTCAGACATATAATTGTCGATTACTTTGAAAATTTCATTTGCAGTTACTCTATCATGAAGAGATTCACAAAATAAATACTCTTCAGCAATTCGTTTATCTTCTTAGAAATATCTGGAAACAAATAATTGAACAATGTCCATTATCAGTACTTTAATTCAATCGCAATGCTAAACACTCACTGTGTTTTATGTTTTGAATAAGTGTCTTTTTTAAAGGAATTTGTCATTTCGTGAATTTGTCAACTTATTGTATTATTTGATAACAGAATATTAAGTTCATTAGCCGCTTTTTCGTTGAATAATGTTAAAATGATATTTTTGCCTGCTGGTAATGGAAGGTTTTCTCCAATAGTATGAGCCAATGCAGTCTTAGCAATTCTTAAGACTTGCTAGGTAACTACCTTCTAATGCCTTTTTCACTGTAGCAAACCTTTCATTACTTGCTTACCATTTTTGAACTCCGATAATTTCCTCTTAAAATATTCTTCCAATTTATCCTTTAAAATGGCTTGCTTAGATTCAAGACATCATTTTACATTCATATGTTGATTGGATAGTTCACTGGAAACAACACATTGAGGTTGATGGTCCATTTTATCGCCATTCCAAGTAAACCCAAATTATTAAGAACTTTCATTATATTTCCTAGAAACAATTTTTCTTTTCAATATTCTTAGTGCTTTTAGATTATCCTGGATCCATCACCTGTGAATCAACACGTTTCCACTTAGTCAATCCTAGCCATTTTTCCATTTTGAAAAATCTAGGTTTGTTTTATTTTTTCACAAATATTTAAATGCACAATATGTTACGAAGTCTTACAAACGACGATATTCTCAAATTGCACAGAAAGGTAAGGAATACAAAGCAACAGGAAGACAAAATATCTGCTGTTCGTCGTAAAGCAAATTGTCATAAAATTATTCTAATTGAAAATAGAGCAATATTAAGCCGGAAATGGTGGCGATATAAAGTGTAGAGATGCTACTAAATCAATGACCTCTAAAACAATTAAAGAGATGTTACTCTTTTTTTTTATAAGAACTTATTTTTTCCCCTATTAAATACAACATGCATTTCTATTCATCCTTTTGTCATTAATGACCAAATTTGTTATGTCTATGACTAAAAAGATATTTGTGAAAATAAAAATGGCTTATTTTGCTAGTGTCTATGAATGACTATTGACCTTGAACAAAGGTCAGATCGCATAATTTACGAGTGTTAGAGAAAAACACTTAAACAGGATGTTGGGGTATTTGATTTTTGAATTTAATCATTAAAAATACTTTGTCTCTTTGTGTACCACCTATTTTTCTCTTGTGTACCACCAATGAGAATTGATCCTCTAAACTATGCAGTTCAAAAATATTTTGTTAAAAAGTTCACAATTCCACTGTTGTATGATATAGTTTTAAGAATAAGTCAGTACAAGTGACTGAGTGGTATTAATGTACAATAGATGCTCCCTTTTGTTTATAACAAGCACATAACACAAGAAGTAAAGTTTTTTTTTTTTTTTTTTTTTTTTTTTAAATTTTGAGGAGGACTATTATGGTTTTCATATTCCTTTAAATTTTACAAGTATAAGAAATTATCTGAGAAACATATCACAATTATATCACCGAGAAACATAACTAAAACGTAGGAAAAAAACAACATTAAGAAAATTCCTTCAGAAATGAAGCTGTGAAACTTATGCCCTTTACCACTTTTTTTAAATAGACTTTTAGTATACCTGTTGCCTTGATAGTAAAGGAAGTATGACATCTACAACTTGACGAGACGTCTTCCTCCATTTATCCTCGCCTCCCTGACGACTATGATTTATAATGAGACAAAACAGATGTAAAACCTGAAACAATAATAAAAAATCAAGACATTTAATTACACTTAATTAAAAATGAAAGAGAATATAAAGAAGTGTCTTCAGGGACAAAATTTCATTTTTCTCTCATAAAGACAATTTAACAAATTCTAAATATACCTATTTGATAAATTTTAAAACCAGGACTATATTACCTAACTGAGAAAATGCCATATTATGAAGAAGCAAATCCACTGCTAAGCAAATTTCTGTGGGAATGCACATGCACACCAGTTATTGAAATGATTGAACTTGCACACCAGTCAGATGAATACTATGCAGGATATAAACATCCAAACAATATGCAGAGCTAGTCTCAATAGTGTCATGGTTATAATATAAAATCTTTTTTTTAAATTTATTTTTGGTATGGTAAACAAAGTGAAGATAAGGCCTTTAAGATATAGTCATATTCAACATCAACATATAGACAAATTTGTGGAGGTTTAAAATTAGGCCTTCATAATGTTGAAATGTCCTTGAACAACACAATACAGGAAATGCACATTTGATGCTATAACTAGTGGTCAGATTGGACATTAACAAATCCAGAAAGCAAACATTCAACATCATAGCAAAGAGAATGAGACAGAAGTCAGAGCATGTTAACTACCACACATGATGGCATATTGCAGCTGATCCATGGTCCACAACTAGAAATACCATGCAATGTGTACAGGATGCTCCCACTGCTCAAGTATCAATGTAAACTGACTTATGGCAATTGGCTGATGCAGGTTTTCAGATCTGTCATCCTTTAGAAAAGTTCCATTAACAGTAAGCCATTGCCATGAATATTTGTAATGGTGTCACAGCAGAGCTGTGCTGAGCGCTGAATAGGATGCAGTGGTCTTCAGTGGCAATCCTGCTTTTGCCTCCTGAATGATGATCAATGTGTGAGAGTGTGGACATGACTTGGCAACTAGGCAGATGTCTCTACCCTTCTTGAGTGATATATGGTGTGTCAAAGTTGAATAATGGTTTCAAGTGCCATCAGAACTCAGCTCCTCATTTCTTATGTATATTACATGCATGTTAACAAGATACCACTATGTCGATAATGTGCTGCAGTCCCATCCTCTTCTGTACCTTCAATATGGATATCCCAAACACCAGTTTTTAACAAGATGGTCCCAGCCACACACTACTCCTGAATGCACTGCAAGATGTGATAGTGCTCCCTTAGATGCACTTAGCATGTAGTGCATGATAACACAGGACATGATTAGGACACTAAATGGTTTGATGGAAAATGTTTAACAATGTATTACCCTAACTACACAGCAACTTACTGATGCACATTTTTGAAAATTAAATCTGCTTTTAAATACTTGGCTATTAATATATGTACAAAGTTGATTTATTCCCAACCATTCATTTATGGTGTAGAATTTTTTACTGTCAGGCAAAGTATCTCAAAGAAATCATAATTCATAGAACAATACCATTATAGCAGATAAAAATTACCCAGAATCAAATATTAATCATTATTAAAAAATCCCAACTCTACATGTTATGAAATACAATCCATCTGATGATATACTAATAGAGATATATAGCATTACTAAGCATGATTCTAACCATATTAAAAGACAATAAACACTTCATAGACAGTTTCTGATTCATTTTGTAGCTGAAAGAGCAAAGGATTTAATTAAATGAAAGATTATAAGGAAGAAAACACATACAGTTTGAGAAAGAAATCAAAATATATATCTAGTGTTTTAAATATTGCATTGGTTTTGAAACAGATGATGCAGTACTTCTAATAGGATGCAACAGTTCTGTGTGGTCTAGACTGAGTTATATATATAATTTCTGTACACAACTTAGTGCACCTTTTCTTTAGCACAATCCTTTTATCATGAAATATAGCCAAGCTATCCTTCAAATAATGAATTTTAGCTGTCCCAGTCAGTGCTCTGGATTTTCTAAAATGTATGGAGACAAGAAACATAGGATGACATATTAATGAACACATCTACAAATCAGAAGCAATCTGAACAGCTCACCCTTCCTTTCAGTCTTTCAACTACTGACGGTTGCATACTGGTAGCTTAGCTTTGGTTTTCATCCCAGCGAATGGACTGTTTTCATGTGTATTTTAATGACTGTTCCCATGTGTAATTTGAATGAAAGCCAAATTCTAGTGCCTTCTCTCAGATACATATATTGCTTTAACTAAACAGTCCCATAAATATTTCTTCCAGATACTAAGAGGATTCGATGCAGTAAAATTATGCTCAATATTCTGATACACTGAAAATGGCTAAAGATAGTTTTGCTCTTGCTGAAACAGCCTATTGAAATTTTGATGCAAATTCAGACATTTGAAGGAAATTACCTCATTGCTTATTCATTAAATTGCTTGGTTTTGAATTCAGGAACACAGGAACATGAACATAGGAATCTGCATGAATATAATGAATTATTTACTTAAACTGATAAATTCCCAATTATTTACTTTAACTGATAAATTCCCAGTAAAGAATGTAAGATATCAAAATGAAATTAAAAAATATATTCAACAATGAATTCTAACAGCCGCCCAGACGATATAGTGGTTAGAGGAGCCTGACTGTGATACTAAAGGGCCCGGGTTCGAAATAATGGAGAAGGCATGGATGTAAAATTGTCTGTCCCTTCATAAGAGGTACCATGGCCGTCTATTAGGTGCCTCCACAATAAAATGGTCACCGCTTCTGGCCTTAGTAGTGGCCAATGTTGCTATAGGCAAGTGCATTTGTAAAAAAAAAAAAAAAAAAAAAGGTTTCCAGGTTTGCCCTTTTTCACAAATTTAAAGAAATAAAATCAGATCTACTAAACACTAATGAAGAACTCTCTGCCTCTGGAAAGAAGAAACTCAATTGAAAAGAGGTAGACCTAACAGTAGACACTGAAATTTTGTACGTGTACTTCAGCATCAGACAATTAAATTAGTTTACTATTTTTACACTAGTATGCAGTATAAAGAAGATATTCACATTTGTATACTCAGTTAAAACAACAGCAAGAAGGGTAACACATTTAAATTTTAATGAAGCTGTTGTAGGAATCTGAGCAAAATTAATGCTCCCAAAAAGTGACATAAATATTTCACTGTATCTTCAGAAACACGTTTTCAATAAAACTTTATATCCAGCAATTTCCCATTTGTATTAGTAAGCTGACGGCAAGGTCTGTATCTTCCCAAATGATCCAAAAATGAATGAAAAACACAAATATTTCTATTTTTCCTCGGCAACGGTGTAGCAATGTTTGGCTTTATTACAAAATTATAATGTTTTAATCAATCTGCATATTTAATTTCTTATTTCAATACTGAAAATTTAATTTCTTATTTCAATTCTGATTTCATACTACAAGTGTTCCATTTTTCAAAGAAACAGCTACTATTACCTGAGGATATTGGACCAATTTAAAAAGGGTTGACACTATTACTTCTCGCTGTGCATCTAGTTCTTTCCCTAGATCCATTTTATTCATGCTTCTGATGAGGAATAAATCTTCAATAACAGGCTGCAATGCTCGCACAACTAAACAGATAAAAATTTGATTATTTTGATGTTAAAAATTATATTAATAAAAATCGCAATACTCACTATAACCACCATGTATAAAAATTCAAAGCCAGCATCCTAAACTTTAACTTCATTGGCCACTTATGTGGCCAGCTGCTTAAAGTTCTTATTATAGATAAGAAAACTATATATAGTGATTTTAATGAGTCCATCTAGTATAGCTTTCCTGTCCAGTTAGCAATTAATAATAACAGATGAAGAACTGCATTGCTGCTTTTATATTACTTGATTAATAAAAATACAATAAATTTAAAAGAAAAGTAAATATCTGATGCTTTGCCAAATGGTAACAGAGAGGTATATAGAAGATAAAAAATATTTCATTTCCAGCAGTGGCAAAACATTTCTTTTAAATCTCTGAGTTTTCAGGTAAATTGAAAAACATTTCTATCTTATGCCTTACGAAGTGATAACCCACTGCTTTTAAATCCCTGGTGTGTCAATGAAAATGTCATTGAATTTGCACAATATCTGAAATAAATAAAAAATAAATTAAAAATTCAGACTTTGAAGTGTATATGTTTTGGAAGAGAACATATACACTTTTGTGTCTCTAGGTGGCACCTTTTAACCATAGTGGGAGAAACATACATAAATACATATACAGAGATTCTTCATTATTTAAGGATTGAGATTATTGACTATCATACAGCAACAATAATTCGCATCAAAGTATTGCAATGTTCAGTTTTGAAATCCTCTAGCTGTTATTTTCTTAGTAAGCATTTTGAGGCTATGCATGCGTACATTTGTTATGAAAATTCATTATTTAAGGATTGAGATTATTGACTATCATACAGCAACAATAATTCCCATCAAAGTATTGCAATGTTCAGTTTTGAAATCCTCTAGCTGTTATTTTCTTAGTAAGCATTTTGAGGCTATGCATGTGTACATTTGTTATGAAAATTCATTTTCTTGATTTATCAATGCATTATACACCAGGGGAATAGTGGAAGAATCTATTTTTGCTGCTAATGAGCATTAGTTCCTTGGCAATAACAATTGGATTTTTAGATAGTTCTAAAGGCTACCTACAAATAATTACAGAAGAAACACTTCTTGAAAGCATATGCACAAGATTTCAATAATTTCAGACTATATATAAATTCCAGAATATATATAACTTACACTATAAAAAATATACATTTTAATGAATACATCCAACTGTAGGTTTCATATATACTACGTAGGAAACAGCTTCAGCCTACAACACTTATCCAATCATTTAGCAACAGTTACTATTGCTTGCGATGCCTAAACTCACTGCATATCTCTGAAAATTCTAAATGCCTAAATCACTGGAAATTTTAATCATTTCATTCTTACTTACATAAGACAGTCACAAAAACAAATATGGTCTTTTTAACTTTTATCTTTCTTGTTGCAATTTCAATGCTCAGAAGCATTATGTAAGTACTTTTTCGGTGAACATCAAATCTGCAAATGAAAACTTCCGGAAGAAAAGTAAAAAGATTTCACTCTAATTTTTTTTTTTTTTTTTTTTTTTTCTTAATGGAAACTACAGATGTAAGCAAAAACACAAGAATAAAAGGTAGAAAACCCATACATGCGAACAAATGGTAATTCAAGTCTAGCTCTTGAATTTTATAAGAATCTTTACAAAAACTTGAAGATAATTTCAAATTAATCGACATATATTGGTCAATTTTAATACAGAAGCATTCTGGCTTTATTAGTGACAGTATTGTACTAAAAATTTGTATGGAAGTATCCATGCATTGTCAACATACTTGTATTTAATAACGTATGGGAAAAGTGCCAAAACAAAAGTACACTAACTGAAAAGTACAAGAATATTTTTAGTTCCTCAGCATTAGTAATTCAAACTAAAATTAATTTCTAGCATTAAAAATTTAGCAAAATGCAACAAAATTTTCCAAAGATTAAAAATAGCCATATTGTGTGATACATACTTATCCTACATATTTCAGTTCATTAATTGGTATTGTGACTTTTGTATATATAACTTTCATACAGTAAGCATTGCTTAATGTTAATGATCATTTGAATATTGCTATTGAATTGCTGAAGTCCTGAGCATTTGCAAGTGAAAAGATGAGCATAAGCAAATTCAGCATCTGGTTACTAGATTAGACCTCAGAGATTATAAATTAAGTCAACTTTTCCAGCAAATGAAAAGTCTAGCCGCAGACGATTTTCCGGAAAAAGTGCTAAAATCTTTATGGTTGGATAAGATACCCAGTTTAATAAAGAATATTCTTCTCGTGTGATGAAAATTTAGATAAATTAGCCACTGAAGTATCTGGTATGCAAATATAGGAAAATAACACTTCTCTGACTCCAATAGAACCAATATTTTATTCCTTACGAAGTTATGGATTCTTATTCATAAGATTTATTTACATTTTACATGCACGTTGAATCGCGTAACAGAAAACTGAAGTTTGTTTACTTCGTTCTTCGCGCAGACTAGAAAGTGTTGCCATTCTGCTTTAACTAAATTTAATTAGAAACTTGAAGGAACTGAAGCGACACTACAGCCACGATGGCTGACAAAGTTCAGAAGATGAAATCTGGAAAAGAAATTTATGCTGTTTTGCCAAACGTTAATAATGCTTTATTTGTTAGATTTACCTTAGAACAAAAAAATGATTCAATGCAAATAAATGATTGTTTTAGACCAAGATTTAGATATCATCACCGGAATACATCTCAGAGTCATAGCCGTTCGAAAAAGAGTACTTATAATTGCCTTAATTATTGGTCTCGGTAAAAAACTTTCACAAAAAATTAGCATTTTTAAATAAATGTTTATTAAATAAAATTATTATTAAAATTTATAAAAGTTTAATTTGTATTTCACCATTTTTGACAATTGTATACATTTACGATTTAAAATTATACATTAAGATTATTCAGTGCGCCTCGCTAACTGCCTTATACCCTAATTTGGAGACCGCTGTTCTAGGGAAGAAGTGTGTTGTTCTCACAGCGAAAAACTTTTCTAGTACTTAATAGAAAACAATTAAAATTTTTATTAAGCATTATTCCAGAATCAAGTACCTCTTGAATTAGAAACAACCAAACGGTCAACAAAAAGTCAAATGAGGCTAAATTTATTCGTCTCTGATGTTGCAGTATTATGGCAACTCTTCTTGACTGTATCCATGCCATACACAATTTTTTTCTTTTCACCTTTTCTAATGTAAAATGCACTGTTATATTAATTACAGTCAAGTATGCCACAAAGAGAAACAAGCAAGTAATTGGATGTGTTGCAGGTAATACTTTAGCATGACTGCACTCAAAGCAAGATAAAATCTTGCAATCCTGACCATATATGCAGTATCTTTATTTTATAGTCACAATTGATATGACCTAGAAAATAAAACACTCAAAACAAGAGGATAAAATTTACTAGATGGATGTAATAAAATCTTGCCATTAAAAATTTCTTTTTGTGCTGTCACTATTAATTCCAGTTATGAGACCTTTTTAAAACTCAAGGATTCTAATATATGCCAGGTCATTTATGAGTTAAAAGATCTTGAGTTTTAAAAAGGTCTCATAACTGGAATTAATAGTGACAGCACAAAAATAAATTTTTAATGGCAAGATTTTATTACATCCATCTAGATGAGATCTTGGAACTGCGTATCTCAGGGTCTCAACCCAAACTAGGATGGAACTTATGCATGTAACTCTTGTGTTTGCAATTAAATACATCAAATCCACTAATGTGCTGAAGCACCAGATGACACAAGAGTAACATGCACACACCACAGAAGAAAGGTTTGAGGCTGCACGTCTATTTGTTAATTTATGTTATTTCTTTTCTGAAAAACAAACTTTTTTGAAGAAAAATATTTTTATAGGATGAATAAGAAAATAAAATCAACTTCTATATTCTTTTTCCTTCATGCCAGCACTGTGATACATATTTATATGGAAAAGTCACACAAAATGAATCCATTGATGGTAAATGAATTTCTATACAAAAGCACAATATACCAGAATAAGAATGCAGAATTTATAACAGTAATACTTTTGACCTCAAGTATCTCTCGCATACATTCATTGGTGGCACGGAACTGCTTAGTGATCTGAGTAGTAAAAGGGAATGATATGAGGACCACATATTACTTCTATATGTTAAGACAGAGATAAAGAAACTGAAGGTCTAAAATGTGCTTATCCTAGGACATATCAGAATGCACATGCTGATATTGGTACTTCAATGATGGTGACAACTCATATTCAAAAGGTCAGGACTTCAGGAACTGGATAATAAGGGCCCGTTGAAAGCCAGTGACGATGATGGCAAGATTATTGCGTAAAATTTGGCAAAAAAGTTTGAGGACAACATCAAAATGCAGGTTTAAGCCTGATCATTTGGTATCATGGTTTATTAGAAAGAGATAAGAAGACAAAAGCGAGCTAATGTACATCAGATCTTGCTTTGAATACATCAAGATTTTTGGTAATAAGAGACATCAGTTCTCTACAAAAATGGTCAAATATTATCCAGCTATATATATATTTTCTGCCCCAGCAAATCTCTAGGACACACCACAAAACAAGGATTATATCCAAAAAAGGTTCTACCAGGCATCTGGTAGGATCTATTCAAAGTTCCTACAAGAGCCCCAAATATTAAATGGCGAGATAACACTACCTGAGTTAGATCATTTTTGCAATGAATTGAGGAAAAAATGCTTATCACTTGCGAATCATAACAGAGTGGTATCATGCCATGGCAACACAAAATTTCATACATCTGTTTGGGACTCAAAGAAAGGTACAGGAGTATGGCTGAGAGATCATACCAAATCATCATATGCAATGATTATTGCTCCAGGAGAAAAACCGTCTTATTTCAGTTATTAAATAATTTTCTTTAGGGTCACAAATATGACAATATAGAAAATTTTACTAAAAAAAAACTGGTTCCACAACAGAGAAGAGTTTTA